GGATTTTCATATCTGAAATACAAACTAGAAACATGTTTGTGTTGAAAATGGGACAATACAGAGAATAACAAAGTCTTCTTAAAGATCAGTGCAGTGCATGGGTTGGACGATACTTCAGTATTGCTGATTAGAAACTTTAATTGGAGCCATATAATAATAATATCAGCATATTGTAGTTGTTTTAATTTAATTGGTTATTAATTTGATTGGTTTATGTGATTTTGTATACAACTTTAACAACATAACAACATATACACAGTATAACAATTAATGGAAAACTATTGTTGTATCTTAACAGAATAGTAATACAATAAATTACTCATGTGTTACATCAGTCTTTTCACCAAGCCTGGTACTTATGTGAGTTGTTAATAAAGTTGCTGTATGCAAGGTCTGGAAATCAAGCTAGCACTAACATGAGACTCAAAAGCAAACTGCTCTGCTCCTCCCACACTCTACTCTCCCTGCGCCGTTATTCTTTAGTCAGCCTTCACCTACATCCTGGTCGTCTTCACTGTCTCAGCTAACTCAGGAAACAGGAGCGAAGAGTGACACTTGCTCGCAACCTTAAAAAGGGCATATTTCTGCACTGCTGCCAGCTGTTCAATGGATCTGAGTCAGAGAAGTCTTTGACAGAACCTCTCCACATTTCTAGAACATAGTTCAACTAAAGCACATTAGAAAAAGTTGCATACTGGAAGCTGACATACAGATCGCAGATTAAATAATTTTACTTGTTTTTTGTACTTGTTATTAAGGGTCATAGATATATTTGATAGATATGGTGATACTTATGTATTTACTGCATATAACCATTTTAAGTCATTGACAGGACATAATCGACAAAGCCTTGTACATTCCTTGCATCCTATTGGGACAGAGATCTGTATACTAGAATGCACAGTGCTAAATATGTTTGCTCTACACCATCTGTCCCCGTTCATCTTTTTGTAACAAGCAAAGCCCTCACATAAAGAAACTAAAACAGTTGTTTAAGGTTTCATCTGCAATGCAAAACACCTGCTCATGATTCATCACTCATTGTACTTTATACAGAGAGCTTTTTGTTCATAGCTCACTGCAACTGGAATCATTTCAAAGTGGCCTCTAATCATGGTCACCCTTAAAGCATGAAAATGTGTCACTGATTATAAAAGCCTGAATAAATATTCTAATGTGCCATAGATTTTATTTATTAAACTCACTTTCATTAGCACTATTTTAAATACCATTAGAGTGTTCAACGATTGCCCCAATGTACAAAATGCACTTAAGTAAGTTATATAAGTGCTTTTGATTGACATAATAATTGTGTATGTTGTTCAGAATAAGGTCAGACTGTTGATGTTTCAATAGTCGCAATGAAAAAAAGAAACAACATTAAATGGCCTCTGTCAATCTGAAAGTCTGGAATAGTTTCACAAAATGTACTTTATTTATTTATTTATCCATCCATCCATTATCTATACCACTTATTCCTGGGGTCGCGGTGGTGGTGGAGCCAATCCCAGCTGACATTGGGTGAGAGGCGGGGTCCACCCTGGACAGGTCGCCAATCAATCACAGGACTGACATGTAGACAAACAACCACACACACTTACACTCACTCCTACCAGCAATTTAGAGACACCAATCAACCTAAGCTGCATGTCTTTGGACTGTGGGAGGAAGCCGGAGTACCCGGACAGAACCCACGTAGGAACTGGGAGAACATAAAAACTCTGCACAGAAAGGCCCCGGGTCAGCCTGGGCTCAATCCTGGAACCTTCTTGCTGTGAAGCACTAACCACTGCGCTGCTGTGCTGTCCTATACACACTCATTTTATTCTCTTTTTTAAAAATGTACACTTACTATAATACATTTCATCTGCAAAAAGTAATGCAAATTTACTGACAAATTTGTATAAGGATCCTCTTATATCCTTCCTCTCAGGCCTTCGAAAGGACAAAGACATATGACAACTGCTGTTGATGGTGATCTATACTACATACTGGATTTATTTATTGATTTATTTATTTCTAAATTGCATTGTTTATAATTAATATTTCAGACCGCTGTTTAGGGTTGAATTTATTTTATAGGATGAATTTTATGATTATATAATGTGTGTGTGTGTCCTTGTCTCACCCTTAATCAACCTGCAACCTGTCCAGTGTGTGCCCTCTCCCAGTATCAGCTAAGATTGAATCCAGACCCCACCCCCACCGTGATCAACGATAAGCAGATGTCGCTTTTGGATGGATGGACTACACTATACTTGACTGTGTCGGACACTGCATTGACAAAATTAAAGAAAATTTAGAGTGGCAAATCACGTAAATGCTTATTTTATTAAATGATCCAGTGCATGTGGGTGTTACATAACAAGCAGCACCAGATGGCTCATTAAGGTAGAATAAACTTTGTAAAAAAATTTCAGATTATATAGGGACCCATAGGTGGCAAATACATAGAAACTGGGAGACTTCACTCCTTCATTGGCTCCTCTCTAAACAGACTGGCTGCATGTTTGCCAAGAAACACTGCGCTCTACTGTACAAACTGTAATGTAATCTCTTGGCCTTGACTCCTGGTTATGTGCCCTGATAGGCTTATAAAAGAGTAATTATCACATAAAGTTTCCTATATTAGTACAAATCCCCCTGATGCAGAATGAAGTCAGCACACATACACACACAGGATCCATGTAGAAGTCATGCTTTATTTGGTTTCTAAAATCATATCATCCATTGCTCATACTGCCTGTAATTTCATCACCAGCCTCAGTGGGCGCAACACAATGCCTACCTCCAGAATACCAATATACCACCCTCATATTTCAATAAATGATCAGGTTGGGATGCAATTAGTAACTTGGAAGGGTTGTGAGAGTCACATGACAGATCGATTGAGCTGAGAGGCAGCATGCTCAGAGGGGGGATTCACAGCCCAACAGTTTGTCCCCTGCTCAGCCTGAATCCATGCTGTCTGTCTTCTTTATATGAACCATTCAAGGCTGGAAATATGCATCTGTCAAACATTCCCCATTACTCCAGCTGCCTGTCACACCTGGGGCAGCTCACAACCAACCACAAAAAAAAAAAATAAAAAACCGAGCATAGCTGTCGGTAGAGAATCCTCCACAGACTGAAAAGGCACCAGCTCCCCTCATTTCTCTGACTCTAATATCCTCAAAACACGAATATTTTTCTGGAGCTCTGCCTGAGTGCTGGGTTAATGACAGAGGCTGTGTCATGCAAGTAGTTGAGACAGGTTCTTTTTGCTCCACATTGTTTGATATTAAGGTATGACCAACATCCTATATACTGCATAATACTGCACTAGTGTTACTGTATATTTCCAGGCTGGTGCCTGTAGCTGAAAGTGAAGAATCTGTCATTAATAGTCATGAGAAAACCCATACCATGTATTCTCTCTCAGTACTGTGTGCGGTCTGTGCCACCAAATGGCATGAGTACTACAAAACTCCAACGCTGTGACTCTGTGGTAGTGTACTGTGGCAAGTTTCAGTACAGGTACTTAGAGTATGATTAAAACACAGTTGGTGGTTCGGCTCCTACCGGCAATGTTTCCACTACAGGCATGTCTGGATGTTCTCTCACCTCAACAACCAATGTCTTTTCACATTACAAAGCTATTTCTCTCATTGCTCTCCACAGTCCATGAGAGCGCTGCAAACTATGTCATAAATGAAATATAAGCACGCCGCTGTATTACTTATGAGACCTAACGCAACTTTGCTCTGAGCTATTTTCAGATTTCATTTAAATTCATTAATATGATGAATATTCTTATAGCAGAGAAACAGACGATAGGGCGTCAGTCCACAAGAAAATATTAGCAAAAGATGAACTTCACAGATTGCTTATCAGCAAAGACCACCTTCTAACTAGCCAATAATGTCTACATCAATCTTTGTAGTAAAAGCTTTTTTCAAGGCTCCTCCAGGGGATGTGCAAACACCAGCCAAGCCCACAATGAGACATTAAGTGACACTAATGTTCTTCACTGAAAATTTCAGATGTAACACTGCCCTGTCCTGTTGTTTATTTAAACTTCAAAGACTGAACGATGAGAAGAGCATAAAGAAAATGTTTTCACCAAAATCAAAGCATGGCAGTGACTATATAATCTGTACTATGTCCTAACCTTAGCCAGTATCATCAGCAGTGAACTGAAACACTGCATACAGTAATTATCCCATAACATTAAGAGTTAATGTCCCATGTGCACAGATTTGCAAATTATGTCAATTAGTAGCAGAAAATCCATTCAAATATACAGCCACACATGCTCAGACACATGTAAGGTTTGGGGAAGAGAGCGACTGACCGGCATCATTTATTCTGGCATCACACTGACACACAGACCCCCCAGCAGGTTGTCATTGCTGTATCCGAAGTCCTATCCAAACACCCCATAAATATACCAAAGAGACAATCTCTCACATGAGCTTCTCTGGATTTAGCCTCAGCTTAGTTCTGGGAGGATGCCAGCTCCAGATCAATAGGGAGTCAACTCATCAACTGCTGATCTGTGAACGGACACCTGAGCTCATGCTCCCCTGACTGTTAACTCACTTCCTACCACCAGCTTTGATCAGACAAAGTCTATTTCCCTTTGGGTCTTCTTCTGCCCCATTCCCTCTTCCATTTTCAGCCTCTGACACTGTTTCTGTGTGATGTTTATTGGTGTTTTTATTTAAGATATACACTGTATTATACATACCTCTTAGACTCTTTTGATTAAACTCAGATTGCTAAAGTTGTCACTGACACAGCTTATTAGCGATAAAAACACACATAAAACCATGTCTGAGTGCTTTACCAACACATAAAGCAACTTAGCTCCAGAAGAACCAGATCACCACTTCAAATTCATCACAGAAAAACTATAAATCAATTTTGTGCACACTAGAGAGAGAGAGCAATGAGGTTTCCTGTTTTCATTGTTACAGCGCTTTCAGTGTAAAGTGAATAAATAACAAGCAAGGTCTTACCTGGACTCTTGGTGAGGCTGCTGTTGATTGTAACAGATCCTATCTCTGCTTTTGGGACAGAGTCAGAGAAAAAAAGAAAGAAGAGGAGAAAAAAGCTGAGAGAGAGGAGGGGCGAGGAGAGGGACCACAAGCGTAGAGAAAGAGAGAGCGCGAGAAAAATCAGAGGGAAACCGAGAAAGTGTCTGTGCACAATGAGGGAGAAGCACCGACAGACAGGAGAGAGGAGAGAGTGATGACAGTGGTGCTCTCACACCGCGCTACCTTACACTGAAGGGGATGTGCTGGCTCTGGGAGGTGGTACTCCTCAGTCAAATGACATCTGCCTCTTGCTTTAAAACCATTGGCTAAGAGAGATGGTTTTCTAATAAGCCATCCCTGCTGTCTCCAAGTGAGCACACCCCCTCTTTCTTATCTACATGCATAAGCAGATGCATGCACACACACCCATATACACATGCACAGATTCATTTTTTTCTGTGCAGCGCACAAAGATTGTCTTTGCCACCCCTTTTGTCTACATTTTCCTGTTCCTATTCTCTTCTCCACCACTTTCATGTCTCTTTATCCTTTGAGGTGCTCTCCTATATGTGCATTGTCATTTTTCACAAGTGTTTTTATGGTGCAGTTCAAAATTGCCTCAGCTTTTGATTGTCCCTTCTTTTAAAGGACATTTCCAGCCATTTCCAACATTTTTCAAAAAACTAAAAAAAAAAGATGGTTACCTTTTTATGCTTTATATAATGTATAGACTTATGCTAAAAAGTATTTTATGTTATTTTTCAGCTATTACAGACAGGATCACTCTAGGTATATTGTGATCATGATCACACTGAACAACTTTTTTGCTTTCAAATTATTAGATGCCTAAGCGTCAGCGATGTGTTAGTGTTTCCAGTGTGGAAAGTTTGGACCTGACTGAACATCTCGACAAAATTAAGGCAGTCAGGAACTGAATAAAAACTAAAAAGGTTAACTGGTTCAGTCTAACCGCTAAGCATACCTTTTTAAACTTGTTTCATCAGGCTCATAGTGTGTGGGACGTAAAAGTTAATGCAATTTTAGATTTGGATGCATGAATCAATTACAGTTTTCAAGTGGTGTCATTGACTATAATGAGTAATTTTACAGAGCCTGTTATCGCCTACTCACAAAGTAATTATTAGTGGAAAATCTGGGAAAATATGTTTTCATGTCCTTTCATAAGAAAAACTCAGTTAGCTTTGTGAATTTGATCTGAAGAGAGAGAAAACATTGTATTCACAGTAAGAAATCACTGCATTTTGCACCTAGGGTAAATAAGTATTAACATTTACAAATGAATTATTAACATTGTACTTTCTGTGACCTCTTTACTTTATAAATTAATTTGAAGTCACTGTAAGGCCAGTGACTTAAACATGCACTAATATTACTATAGCTGTGTGTGGTGTGACAACACTGTGTAGTGAGAAAAATTTCACCCAGCTTTACAGTTTCCCAAGTGTGTTATCATCCTTGGGTGTCAAATACCGGTGCTTTGTTAAATACCGTTTGTGAAGTACCTAGGGCACAGCGTGCATCACTAAACAGCTGTATTTTATGCACAAAACTATGTGCTTAGATCTACAAGGTTTAGGAAAAGGTAATGGCTTGGGTTAAAACCCTCATCAATAAAACGCACAATGTCACACATCGGACTCCAGTGCCTCGCTTCTGTAGAAAAATCTAATGTTTTATTACCCCATTTTCCAGCCCACCCCCCCAATTTCTCCTTTAATATACTGTGTCACACTAAATGCAAGACTCAAGCAACTGTTGTATCAACCATATCAACTTCACAGTGCTAATGCATGAATAAAATTAAATAAATCAGTGTTGGGTTCACAGCTTGTTGCACTGCCCCCAAATGTCCAAAACATGAAGTAATGTGGGTTTTAAGTGAGGTAGGTGTGTCACAATCAGGTCAGGACTTGTTCTTATCAAATGTCTGTTTTCTATCTTCTTAAAAAAAAAAAAAAAAACAAAAACAAAAAACTGTTGTTTTTTTGTTTATAAACAGTGGATGTGCAAAACAGAAAAAAAACACACACACACACAAAACAATAGTGGCTACATCACTTTCACAAACAGTTTGATAAAGCGTCAGTGTTTGACACCATGGGAATGAGAAAGGGCTGGTTTTCCTCAGCTCTGTGGTGTTTTAGCATTGTTTTGGTTGATGTTTTGCATTGGTTTACTCTCATGACTCCCATCTCCTGCAACAGGCTGAAAACGCTGCACACCCTGACCCAATAATCTAACAGCTAAACAGACAGACAAAGTTATTAGGTGAGACATATAGCGTATATATACACTATATTGCCAAAAGTATTCACTCGCCTGCCTTCACATGCAAATGAACTTGAGTAACAACCGATTCTTAATCCATAGGGTTTTAATATGATGTTGGCCCACCCGTTGCAGCTATAACAGCTTCAACTCTTCTGGGAAGGCTGCCCATAAAGTTTATCCATCCATCCATTTTCCTCCACTTATCCTGGACCGGGTCGCAGGGGCAGCAGTCTAAGCAAAGATGCCCAGACTTCCCTCTCTCCAGACACTTCCTCCAGCTCCTCCGGGGGAATGCCGCGGCGTTCCCAGGCCAGCCGAGAGACATAGTCCCTCCAGCGTGTCCTGGGTCTTCCCCGGGGCCTCCTCCCGGTGGGACATGCCCGGAACACCTTCCTAGGAAGGCGCCCAGGAGGCATCTGAAACACATGCCCGAGCCACCTCAGCTGGCTCCTCTCGATGTGGAGGAGCAGCGGTTCTACTCTGAGCTCCTCCCAGGTGACCGAGCTCCTCACCCTATCTCTAAGGGTGCTACCCCACCCTTAGCAACAGCAATAATGTGGTAAATAATTCACAGGAATATGTCTTTGGAACATATTATCTGTTTTTCTAAGAAAAGTCACTCTTTTAATTGACTGTTACAGTAGCAGCAGGATTTTCTGTCCTTATTAGTGACCACATTTATATTACATGTAGTCATTAGATTCAGTCTCTCACTATGCGAAAGTCAACAATTCTTTTGAGAATCAAGGAGTGTCAAGGGGTAAATCTTTTTCTGCCTGTTTTTGTGAAATATAAAATCTATTTCTTTATATTAATTTCCCTGTACCAATTGAAATATCAACTAAATAATAATACTTCATAATTTTCTGACAATATGTTCTCTATAAGTTTGGGTATAGGAGTCAGTTCTGATAACTGGTTGTCATTTAAACCTCTTTATTTTACCATCAACAAAATCTAAAACTTTACAGTGACCCCATCAATGATACAACACTTTATATGGATTCAAACACATTCAAACTTCCAGAACAGCTCCTAATCAGATGATTTGTTTTTGAAGAAAATTCATTGTGAAACAACAAAAACCATAAATTATGTAATTTAATAAATGAAAGTATGACCTCTATTCTAGAGGTTTTAACTCGCTGGTATCCGAGATAAAGCAGCCCAGGAATAATTAATATATTCTTTAGTTCAGAAAGAAAGAAAAAGAAGGTATAGAGCTGGTCCAGTGTTCCACGGCCAGGACGAAAACCGCATTGTTCCTCCTGAATCTGAGGTTCGACTATCGGTCGAATTCTCCTCTCCAGTACCCTGGCATAGACTTTCCCGGGGAGGCTGAGGAGTGTGATCCCCCTATAGTTGGAACACACCCTCCGGTCCCCCTTCTTAAAAAGAGGGACCACCACCCCGGTCTGCCAGTCCAGAGGCACTGTCCCCGACCGCCATGCGACGTTGCAGAGGCGTGTCAACCAAGACAGCCCCACAACATCCAGAGACTTAAGGTACTCAGAGCGGATCTCATCCACTCCCGGTGCCTTTATCAGTGTGTTAATGGGAATATTTTACCATTCTTCCAGAAGCGCATTTGTGAGGTCAGACACTGATGTTGGACGAGAAGGCCTGGATCGCAGTCTCTGCTCTAATTCATCCCAAAGGTATGCTTTACATCTGACGCTTTGTATTGCACTTGGTGATGTAAATCTTGGATGCAGCTGCTCAACCATGGAGCCCCATTCCATGAAGCTCTCTACACACTGTTCTTGAGCTAATCTGAAGGTCACATGAAGTTTGGAGGTCTGTAGCTATTTACTCTGCAGAAAGGTGGGCGACCTCTGTGCACTATGCGTCTCAGCATACACTGACCCTACTCTGTGATTTTACGTGGCCTCCCACTTCGTGGCTGAGTTGCTGTTGTTCCCAATCACTTCCACTTTGTTATAATACCACTAACAGTTGACTACTAATTAGTAGCGAGGAAATTTCACGAATGGACTTATTGCACAGGTGGCATCCTATCACGGTACCACGCTGGAATTCACTGAGCTCCTGAAAGCGGCCCATTCTTTCACAAATGTTTGTAGAAGTGGTCTGCATGCCTAGGTGCTATAAACACCTGTAACCATGGAAGTGATTGGAACACCTGAATTCAATAATTTGGATGGATAAGTGAATACTTTTGGCAATATAGTGTAATGTGACTGTGGATGATAACTATACAAATAGGCAGCTGTTTACTGATGTGTCAACTTTAGGCTGATAGTAAATGTACTGTTCCTGATTAAATACATAAAATGAAATAAAGCAGTGATGTGTTCACAGCTTGTTGCACTCTCCTCAAATGTCCAAAACCTGTAAGTAATTTGGGTTTTAACTAAGGTAGGTGTGTCGCAGTCAGATGATATCCACTGCCAACTGTTAAACATGGTGGAGGATTTGTAATGCTCTGAGTAGCCAATTCTAGGCAGCCACAACTATGAGATCATCTGTATTGTTGTATAACAGCCAAGTAATACAAACCCACAGTATGGTGTTAGCACTGTTCCCTCTGAGTATACACAACACTGATAAAAGAAAACAAAACTTGTTATCCAAGACTTAGTCATGGACAACCTTATTGAATGAGAATGGTTTCTCTGAAAAGTGATGAATAGTTTGCTTTTATCTGCTGATGCAGGGAAGTTGTCAGCAGTAATTATTTCAGACTGAGCTTCATTTCATCCTTCTTGAATGTCCGAAACACTTAATTATCTACAACCTGCAGGTCAGGTCCTTTTGGGTCTCAGTACTAGTCCTAGTATTCCATCTACTCATTTCCCTTTGTCTGACATGTTCAGTTTTGTGGATGACACAAATAAACTCAAATGCAAAAATGTTATTTTTGAATTAAAACCAGGGTTTGAAGGAGTGCTCAGTAATTACAAGAACCTTCTT